TGAGAGAGAGAGAGAGAGAGAGAGAGAGAGAGAGAGAGACAGAGACAGAGACAGAGACAGAGACAGACAGAGACAGAGATCTCCAGAGAGACAGTGCTCTGACAGAGGACACTCTGGGAAGTGATCCCTAGGGAAGCAGGGCAAAGGGACCAAGGATGATAGCGAGGCTCCCAGGGAGTGAGAGAATGGGACTGACTGACCAGGAAGTTGGCTGTGGGAAGGGACCTGTGGGTTTCCCGGATCCAAGAAGCCTGTGTATTTGTGAGAAGCGTGTGAGTACACAGGCTTTGGGCTGTGCTGTGGGATTTAGGGGCTCAGAGCTCTGGAGAGAAGACCCATCGTTTGGTTCCGTTGCTGGCAGAGCTGGTGCCTCTGTGCCCGGCTTGTGCTTTCATTCTTCTGCCGAGCACATGGGCGATCAGTTCAGAAACAGCAGCCGTCATCATCTTGTGAGCCCCGTCTGCACGTACCGTCACATTCTGAGGTCCTAGGGGTCTACCACTGGGGACGACTCAGTTTATTTCTAGCAAGGAGGTAATCAGAGCAGAGCGTCAGGGAAGGTCCTCTTTGTGTGTGGTGGGCTGGTTCAGTGTCCTGCTGATGCCCTGAGCTCCAGATATCTCAGGCAAAGACCAAGGGCTCCCTAGGTCACAGTTAACTGAGGAAGGGTCCCACTTCTCAGTAACTGGTATATATGGAAAGAGAGTCTGGTTCAGGGTGCCACCCCTCCCCGCCCCCCCCAGCCCCCCCCCCCCCCCACCCCCGCTCAGGGACATCCTTTTGGGGGCAGCATCTCTGTAGTTCCTGCTTTCCAGGTGACATTTGAGGGGTTGAGTAAGATCCCTGCAAGGGCACACACAGAGTGATGCTGCTGCTGCAGTTCGGTGTGGCAAACACTATAACCAGCACAGGGTTGCTGAGCCACTGGCTCCCTCCTTGGAAACCCAGGCTGGCTTGCCTTTTACCCATCATCATCCTCTGACCCAGGTAGGTGCTAGCTCCAACAGCCTGTTCAAGTGCCATGATGAACCCTGGAAGCAACTGTGTCTCCCTCAGGGACAAGATGTTCTAATGCCAGGCTGGCTTTGGGAGCACACTAGACCCATTATCTAATGAGGGTTATGGAAAAGCCCAGGAAACCACCCTGTGAGCTATAGGGACCACCCTGTCCTCCAGCTGTTGGGCATTTAGGCTTCAGAAACATGTCAAAGCCTCTAGTCACATCCAGTCTTCAAAGATCACACGGAGGTCGTAAGTCACACCACTGCTCAGAGATCATAACAGGTACCAGATGCCAGGGCAGGAATCATGAGGTTGAGAGGGGCAGGGGAGAAAGAGATTGTGAGTCTGACAGTGTCATGCTTCTGCAGGATGACAGGGCAGATTCACAGAAGACACATCTCATGGTCAGGGTCAGCCCACTCTCAGGCAGCCCCTGGAGGGATTATGGTGACTAGTTGACACCATGCTCTTAAGCCAAGAATGTCTAATGGCATCACTTCCCTGGTGGTAGAACATTAGGTGGCCTCTGTAAGTGAGCTCCTGTCAACTCTGTGGAATTGTCTTGGCCAAAAGTGTTGAACCTAAAGTGACCATGAGGAAGTATTCCCTTCAGATGGCTTTGGAGACCTCAGAGCTCTCAGGATCACGATCATGGTGAAAAAGAAAGATATAGTCCTGAGAAATGCTGTGAGGTGTCCCCAGAAGATGGCTGTCCTGTGCATCTGTTAGTGAGAAGTGCTGTGAAGTGTCCCCAGAGTGCAGATGGATGTCCTGGGCTTCTGATGGTGAGAAGTGCTGTGAGGTGTCCCCAGAGTGCAGATGGATGTCCTGGGCTTCTGCTAGTGAGAAGTGCTGTGAGGTGTCCCCAGAGTGCAGATGGATGTCCTGGGCTGCTGTCAGAGAGTTCACGCTTGTGCTGGGATCACGGCTTTGCAAGTAGGTGACCCCAGCTCACAGGACAGTTCAAGTGTGGAGTTCTGAGATGCCTCACTTCTGAGCCTGTGTGCCAGAAGTGTCCAGATGAGGCTGAAATAGTTCACAGTTTTGCTGGGACAGTAGGTCACAGTAATCAATAAAAAGCTATCAAGCATAATTTCAAGCCAAAGAGACTCTTGGTGTGCCATGTGGTGATAGAATCCTGCAGCAAAAACAGGAGAAAGATGCAGCCAGGGAGCAAGCAGGGGAGTGTCTGCATAGGGAGGTTGGGGAACAGGCACGGGAACACAGACTTCTAGGCTGGTCAGGGTCTACGGCTGCACTGAGAAGATTAAAACTCTACTTTAAAAAGTCCTATTTTATAGCATGCCAGAGTCTACACACTCTGTATACTTAAACTTGAGTTTGAAATGTAGGTGTTAACTTGAAATGGTCTGAGGATGCATAACTTTTTTTTTTAATCTTTTTTTTCCTAATTTTTTTCATTTTATTTTTTATTTTATGTGTATGGGTATTTTGCCTTAATGTATGTCTGGGCACTCTTGGATACCCTGGGACTAGAGTAAACCACCTCGTGGACGCTAAGAATTAAATCCTGGTCCCTTGGAAGAGCAGCAGGTACTCCTAGCCAATGAGCCATCTCTCAAGACCTCTTTTTACTTTTTGTTTTTACCTAGAGTCTCATTAACATAAAAGTAACCAGGCTCAGCTTGCAATTAGCCAGGTTACTTGCAATTCTCCTGCCTCAACCTACCAAGCAAGCTGGGATGATGGGCTTCTGCCATCAGATCATTGAAAATCTTTTCTTTTTTTTTTTTTGACAGGATCTTAGTGTAATTCTGGCTAGCCTTGAATTCTCAGTGGAGACCAGGTCTGCCACTGCCTCCCAGGTAATCCTAGAAGATTAAATGTGTATGCCACCATGCCCCCCCAAAAAAGTTTCGGAAAAATCATTATGATTAAAAAGTATAAAACTCAGTGGGGTGGTGGTGGTGGTGGTGGTGGTGGTGGTGGTGGTGGTGCACACCTTTAATCCCAGCACTTGGGAGGCAGAGGCAGGTGGAGGATGCATAACTTTTTAAAACTTGCTTTGTACTGGGCATGGTAGTGCATGCCTTAAGCTCTAACACTGGAAGCAAAGGCAGGCAGATCTCTATGAGTTCTAGGCTATCGAGGGCTACATAGTGAGCCCATGCCTTTAAAACAAACGAACAAACAAACAAACAAACAAAAAACTTGTTTTGGAGGCACCTGGGCCAACACTCTGGTCACTGAGTCCAGGCTCTTCCCCACACTTACCTGTGCTGATGGATCAGAAACTTTGTAGCCAAGAGCCGAGCAGAACAGGATATGGCATGAAGGTGGAATGGCATTCTTGTATACAGCACTGAAGTAAACAGAGCAGGAAGGAAGCAGTCCGGGGATGGGGTTGGGGGTGGGCAGCATTGAGAAAGCAGGCCCTGTGTCTACCATTGGGATGTGTAGGGTGTAGGGAGTGATAGTTGAGGTCAGTGGTCTACAGCAAAGACATATGTCGGATGGCCTGTGGGACACTGTGGTGGATGGTTCTGTGTGGGTAACCAGGCAGGCAGGTAGATGTCTTGGGTGATGAAATAGAACAGTGGTCTTGGGGCCTGAGCTGAGCTCCAGGCTGGCATTTGGCTAAGTCCATCTGCCCCTGTCAGGTTCTGTTAGGCCCAGGGACATCAACCTTGAAGCTGGACCAGGAACCCCTGTTACATTGGAGACAAGGTTTTGCTTTTGTTTCCACAGGAGAAGAAAAGCTATGGATACTATCAAAACTGATAAAGGTTCAATTTGAATAACAATGAAATCTCTTCATGCTGGCCGCTGTGTGACCCTGACCAGGCCATTCACCTGTTACACACAGTCCTAACAGCATCGACTCTGTGGGGTCTCGTGACTTGACAAACTGTGACCCGACATTCGTTATGGGTCCTGGAGCACAGCTGTGTCTGAGGATTGTTTTTCTTGTCCCCATTCTGTTTTGTCCTTTCAGACAGTGCGCTCTCTTCTACCTCTGGATTAACAAATTACAGAACCAGTGACTTAGCCAAGTGGTTTGGGATGCTCTTGCGGTCACGGTTAAGCTGCCACAGGCTTTGGTCACCTGGAGATCTGGCTGGAGCTGAGGTTCCCGGCACAGCAGGAGGTCTAGTTTCTATCATAAGCATGACACCTGCTAGGTATATGTCCTTAGGGCGTGGCAGCTGGCCACCCTAATAGTCCAGCCTCAGAAAGCCATCATGTACATATATGTGTGTGTGTATGGTGGTAGTGTGTGATGTTTGTGTGAGATGCACATAGGCATGATGCTTGTTCCTCAGCTTTCCAAAGGGAGCCTCTCTCTGAGCCAGGCACAGGGCATCTCCTATCCAGGGCCCTGAATGAGGACAGTGCTGTCCAGGCTACAGTCTATGCCTGGTCCCTGCATACACTGACCTCTGCATCCTGTGCTTGCAGGACGGCTGTTCTCAGTGAAGGACCGTGCGCCCGCCCCTGAGCAGCGACCATGGGCCTGCTTGCCTACCTGAAGACCCAGTTCGTGGTGCACCTGCTCATTGGCTTCGTCTTTGTGGTGAGCGGGTTGGTTATCAACTTCACCCAGCTGTGCACACTGGCCCTCTGGCCCATCAGCAAGCAGCTATACCGCCGCATCAACTGCCGCCTGGCCTATTCCCTCTGGAGCCGTAAGTGTCTCCGCCCATTCGGGCTTTGTGCAAGGGTTCCTCTCCAGGGGGAAAGGGAAGCTGCTCCTGTCAGGGTTCTCAAGGGGCAGTAAGGACAGGGCCACACCTGACACTCCATCCCAGAACAGAGCTAGGCGAAGCTCCAGCCTCTCTGAGGTCACACCCTTCCACGAGCCCTGTGAACAGGTGTCCAGAGGAACTTGACTAGCCTCGACCACATGATATTTCCATACCAGGCTGTGTGACTCACAGGGAAGGCGACTTTATAGGGTTCAACACAGCACTGTGGGTGCTTTCAAACCAGCAAAAGCAAGGAGAAAATAGGTCCAGTGACTGAGACCAAGCCTCCAGCACACAGTGTCTGTCGTGTGGCCTTCTGCCTATTCACAATATAGTGCACAGTAAAAATCAAGGGTGCCCCTCAGTCACGAGTGTGTGGGTGATGCACGAGAGCACATCTGTATGAGAAACCTGGGCAGACAGCCACTTACTCCCACCCTGTGCACCATGGGAGTGGCACTGGCCTGGATGTGGCTACCTGCAGTTTGCATGATGCCAATTTGACTCAGTTGCTCCGCAGAGTAAGACTATGACTTTGAGAGTTCTATAGATGTCCATTCCCCACAGGCATCCTCATCTTGTCTTGTTTATATGGGCCCAAAGCTAACCAGGTAGTCTTGTAGAGGCTTGTCCTGGCCATATCCCTCCACAGGCCACCCACACAGACACCAAGAAAGTGAGTGGCCTTTCTGTACCAGAGAACTCTCTTCCAAATGCACTTCTAATTAAAAAATAAAAATAAAAGAACAGGTACACAAAAAAGTATACAATATGCTACTGGAGGGTACATGGCAATGGAGGAGCATGTTCTTGGGGACTCCGGGTGCTTGTGCCTCAGCACTTCATTCTGTGTTGTGACTGGGTGGTAACCTGTGCTGGACTGGAGGATGGTGACTGTCACCACTCTCTAGCAGCAGAGCCTCCCCTGTGTATGTTCTTGTGTGGACATGTGTGGTTCTCAGGCACATGTATGGGATGCCCTTCTGGCCAATTGCTGATGTGTTTGGAAAACATTAAGCAGCCCACCTCTGCCATGCTCTAAAGCAGCTACACCATCTGGCACCCCTCTGGGACTATGTGAGAGCTCCCGTGTCCCCAAGGCCTCACCCTGCTTGTGGACTCTGTGTTTGAGGCAGGCAGTGTTCCCTAGCTCCATTCCCAAGGGGCAGGCAGTTCTTTGCAGGGCACTCTGGGGTTCTCTCATAGAGCAGTGTCCAGAGCCAGAAGTATGGAGCTTCCTGTGACTGTCCTACATGTGGTAATTACATCCTGGTCCACCCTCCTCAGGTGCCTGGCCATGATGGGTGTGACTCCCCCTAGAGACCATGGGGCCCATGTGGGATACCTGCCCTCTTGTACTTCCTACCAGAACGCATTTATGCTTAAATTCTGTGCTGAATAAATACATGCAAAGCTCCTACCATGGAACATTCTGGTTCTGACCTTCTTATGAAGGTGAACATGTGTTTCCCTTAAACCTTCCAGAGGACAGGCAGTGCCACAGTCCTGGTCCATCCTGAATCTGCCACTGGCCTATGAGTTGCAGGCATGGGGAGGCTGAGTTCTGAGTTCTGGTGGCCTTCCTCATTCTTGCAGAGATGCTGAGATCAGCCACTGAGTACACTCCAAGCTCCTGGCCATAGTACCCCTTAGGGTGCCTTCGGGGGCCCTTCAGCCTCCTGGGCAGCAGTAGATCTCATAGATGCTCTTCCATAGGCCTGGGGCGGGCAAGACTGAATATGGACCACAGCTGACACCAGAGGAAGTTGTAGGCCAAAGAGTCCCCATGTCCACCTCAGCGTCATTTTCCAGCTGTTAATTCCACAGCCCTGCAGGGCTTCTCCCTCCTTATCACTGAGGACACAGCTCCCATCCTTTGACACAAGCAAGCCAGTGGTCATGTGACATGTGATGGTGCATAGAAGCCATCAAAGTGGCTGGTGGCTGTGCACTGAGGCAGTGGGATCCACTTAGGTCTATAGGACCCTGCTTCTGTGGTTTGCCACCACCCAGCTCCCATTAGACGACGTAGCTGTGATTTGGGAAAGCTTAAAATATGAGCGCTTATAACTCACTTCTAGAAGAAAGTTCCCCTTTAGATGAAAATGAAAGTAGGTTTTCAGACTGCACTCCTACCAGGTTGCGGTGGTGCACGCCTTTAATCCCAGCACTTGGGAGGCAGAATCAGGCAGATCTCTGTGAGTTCGAGGCCAGCCTGGTCTACAGAGCAAGATCCAGGATAGGCACCAAAACTACACAGAGAAACCCTGTCTCAGGGGGGAAAAAAAAGGAATAAGAAGACTGCACTCCCAGAACCTGTGGAGACCTGGGGGTGGGGGGCACTGGGCAGGCATCTTGCAGTGCTGACCCCGCCCTCCCGCAGAGCTGGTCATGCTCCTGGAGTGGTGGTCCTGCACGGAGTGCACTCTCTTCACCGACCAGGCCACCGTGGACCACTTTGGGAAGGAGCACGCAGTTGTCATCCTTAACCACAACTTCGAGATCGACTTCCTTTGTGGGTGGACCATGTGTGAGCGGTTTGGCGTGCTGGGGGTGAGCAATGGGGCCGGGGAGGGGCTGGGTGAGTGATTGGGTCTGGGGGTGACTCACAGGGAGTTCAGGGAGGGGCTGGGTGAGTACTGGTGAAATGGGAGCCCAGGAGGAGACATCTGAGATCTCAGGTTTCCAACTCAAGAGTCTTGTCCCGTGGAGGTTTCTTGGTTTGCCCCCTTAACAGTGAGCAGTCTGGCAGATGAGGGGGATGTCTTCTCTGTGTGGCACCCTCTGCAGTTTCCTGCCTGTTCTTGGGACTAGCTGTGACTTCATTTCCTGTCACTTCCTTTCACCTTCCAGAGGATCCCACTCAAGACCAACTGAATAATTAATTACAATTAGCTGAGTGGCCTCAGAAGAATTTAAACTACACTAGGAGAGCCAGGGATTTCAGTGCGCCAAAGCCCCTAAACCATGGCAGGCAAATGGAGGTCAGGAAGGGACCTGGAACTGACGTGCTATTCACCATGTCCTGGTACACCTGCCCTCCCCCCAAGATTTGGCTCTTGAATAGTTTCTGAGATGCCTGCCCCCATATGTGCTTCAGGGGTGATGATCCAAGGATAAGCCAGGGTCCCATTTATAGCAAATGCTTTGAACCAGGAAAGCGAGGCCCGAACCCCTGGGTTGGCTGTGGGGGCAGGTCCTCCCCACCTCTGACAGGTGCCACTGACCTCCCTGCTCCCCGCAGAGCTCCAAGGTGCTGGCTAAGAGGGAGCTGCTGTGCGTGCCTCTCATCGGCTGGACATGGTACTTCCTGGAGATCGTATTCTGCAAAAGGAAATGGGAGGAAGACCGGGACATTGTCAAAGAGGGGCTGAAGCGCTTGGCGGACTACCCAGAGTACATGTGGGTGAGTGTGCTGCATGTCCATTGGATGGCAGTGGCTTGTGAACGTGACTCAGTCCTCCTCTGTGCCACGCCCGTAAGCTGTAGAATCTCTGGCTGGGGAAATGGCTCATTTGGTAAAGTGCTTGCCACACAAGTGTAAGAAACTGAGTTTGAACACCAGAACCCAAATAGAAAAGCCAGGATGTGGTGAGCATAGGGATAATCCCAGCACTGGGGAGGTGGAGACAAGTGGATCTCTGAGGCTCACTGGCCAGCCAGCCTAAAATACTTGGCACACTCCAGGCCATTGAGAGACCCTGTCTCAAAAAACAAGGTGAGCAGTGCTGAGGAACCACACCCAGGGTTGACCTCTAGCCTACACACACACACACACACACACACACACACACACACACACACACACCTGTGCATGCACATGCCCATGCAACCATCCCACCCGATCTTTCAGACTTGGCCTCTTCCCTTGGACATAGTTCCCACCTGTCCCCTCTGCTGCAAGCCTGGCTTTGGCACACACCCTCCTAGGGTGCAGGGAGGGAGGAGAGCCATCCTTGCATAGCATAGCACATCTCATCTTCTTTCTTGTCTACTGTTGGAAACCTGGCCTCTTACTTCACATTTCTTACACTGTGCTCGGGGACAACAGATGCTCTGTTTTCTGATCCAAGGCTGCTGCCCAGAGACACCTTTGGGTTTCTCTTCTGGAGAGGTCTTTCAGGAAAACTGTTCTGCATGCACTCATTTGTGTGAATGGAGTGCAGATTGCAGCCCCAAAATAAAATACCATTTCAATGATACCACATGCTTGTCGCTGGATGCTTCTGTGCTTCTGTGTCTCGATACATCCAGCAGCACATGCTATGCTGCTGGGGCTTGTGAGACCTAGAATGGTACTGGCCTTGAATGGCAGGGCTGGTTCCGTCCCTGCTGTCCCGGAATAACCCTCTTGCCTCTCCCTACCCTGCGTTCGTTCTGCGCCCAGTTTCTCCTGTACTGCGAAGGAACGCGCTTCACGGAGAAAAAGCACCGCGTCAGCATGGAGGTGGCCGCCGCCAAGGGGCTGCCCCCACTCAAGTACCACCTGCTGCCCCGGACCAAGGGTTTCACCACTGCAGTCCAGTGCCTCCGCGGGACAGGTAGGTGACCGGGACCCCGGTGAGAAGCTGGAGTCCGCCGCTATCTTCTAGGCTACTGGACGCAGCAAGAAGTTAAATGGGACTGGGGGTGTTGCTCAGTTGGTAGAGGGCTTGCCTAGAATACACGAGGTCCTGTATTCGCACTCCATAAACCAGGCATTGTAGCACAGGCCCGCAGTCACTGTACTCCAGAGATGAAATCAGGATCATTTTTCGACTGTATAGTTCAAGGTCATCCTCAGTAACATAGTTTGAGACCAGCCTTGGCTACATGAGCCTTTGTTTTAAAATAAAAGCTAATATATATATATTATAAAAAATATGCCCAAAGCACAGGGAAGGATGGAGGAAGTCGGATTGACATGTTATCAGATCCTCTCATCTCTTTGAGGATGATAAAATGTTACTTAGTGGGAAACTGTCAAAATAACAAAATGTAAATAATGCAAAATATTATAAAGGAGAATGTCAGAGCAGAGATGTCTGGTTCACCTGGATGGAGTTACATAAGCCACAGAAGGGGCCCGAGAGCACTGGGCACGCAGGAACCACCAGCAGAGAGGGTCTGAGTACTCCACAGCCAGACGGGAGCTGAAGATCGTCACCCCACGCCCTGCATGTGGAGGGGCACACCCAAGTGTAAAAGTGGCTTTTCTGCTTGGTGGTGATGTCACTGCTGTGGTGTCTCCCGCTGTCTGTCGCTCACTGGCCCCGTCTCCTCCCTCCAGTTGCAGCTATCTACGATGTGACCCTGAACTTCAGAGGGAGTAAGACCCCGTCCCTGCTGGGAATCCTCTATGGAAAGAAATATGAGGCAGACATGTGTGTGAGGTGAGCGTTCATCACGGGGCTGTCAGGACTTGGTGTGGCCCTCTGCGGGACTCCTGAGGACATGGAAATAGGCGACACAGGAGCCCGAGTGTCCCTAGCTGCGTTTCCCCTGGCCGGTGTGAGGGTCGTTTCTTGTCTGCCTCCCTGCCTCAGTGGACACGTGTGCACATCTGTCTGAGGAAAGCTCTCTCCCCAACCCTGCCAGTGTCAGTTGCTCTCCTCTGGGCAGCAGTCACGGTCTGGTGAACTAAGTGCTAACTCCCAATCTCTCACTTTGAACTAGTGACATGGGACCTCCTGCACAGCCCCTGGTGGAGTGACACTGTCACCAGGCGCCTCTGATCTGGCTTGGTAACCTCCAGATAGTGGTTTGGGTGTCCCCGGGAAGTTCTGATTGAGGAAGGCTTGGCCTGCTCTTCAGAGTCCAGGTGATGGCCAGGCCTGTGGGGCCTGCTTGGCCATCTGCTGTAACACAACCACTGTCAGCACCCACTGGAACTGTCTGAGGCACTCGGAGACCTCAGACGGAGGCAGCCTGCCTTCTTGAACACAAAATCAAGGTTAGACAGGGTGGGTGGAGTCATGTTTCAGTGTTGGCCATGGCCGTGGCCAAGGTAATGCTCACCGCTGTGTCTCCTGAGGAAACACTCCACCCACAAAATGGCTTCCATTTGGCGCCTGCGCTTGGTCCGCTAAGTGGACCTGAGCTCACGCTGGTTTTCCAGTTACACTGTGTGGGAGCTTCCAGGAGGGAGGTGGTGAACATAAACAGTAAGCTTGCTGGCTTTTTCCTCCTGAACTTTGTAAGGGATGGGTAGCAAGGTTCAGGACCTGTGTCCTGTCCTGGGAACTTGCCCTGGGTTGGAGTCAGCAGGTGAGCCTAAGGTCCTCTCCTGTATGTTGCTCATCTTCCAGCAAGGGCCAGCCCACTGTTGACCCCAAGGGACTGTGTGATTAACCCTGAGTCTTAGGGGGCTTCCATGGCCACGTGTGTTAGCTTCCTATCACTGTAACAAGCACCTGAGACAATTACTTTACAAAGAGGAAACTTTGTTTAGGCTCAGGGTTTTGACAGTTTCCGTCCATGACTGAGTCTCTGTTGCTCTGCTCGAGTGTGGGGTCAGCACATCATGGCAGGAATACAACCCGTGGTTAGCATAGCAATCACCGCATCAGCCAATTGGTAAAAGCAGGAGGGCTGTGGTGCTGACCCCTCCAGAGACAGAGGTCTGTGACCTAGAACCTCCCACTATGCTGACCCCTCCAGAGACAGAGGTCTGTGACCTAGAACCTCCCACTGTGCTGACCCTTCCAGGGATGGATGGCCATGACCTAGAACCTCCCACTGTGCTGACCCCTCCAGGGATGGATGGCCATGACCTAGAACCTCCCACTGTGCTGACCCTCCCAGGGATGGATGGCCATAACCCAGGACCTCCCACTGTGCTGACCCCTCCAGGGATGGATGGCCATAACCCAGGACCTCCCACTGTGCTGACCCCTCCAGAGATAGCCATGACCTATGACCACCTACTATGTTGACCCCTCCAGGAATGGATGGCCATGACCTAGAACCTCCCACTGTGCTGACCCCTCCAGAGATAGCCATGACCCAGGACCTCCCACTGGGCCTCACTTTTTTAAGGTAGGGCCTCCTCGGAGACCAAGCTGCTAATACATGATCTTTGAGAGACGGTAGGGAATAAAACCATAGCACTAGGGTAGAGGACAGTGACTGAGAATCTGTCCATGTCCAGAAGTAAGCCCCTCAGAGGCCAGTCATGCTTCTGTCCATGGCTTAACTGCCCCAGGTCAGAGCCAGCCTTTGGCAGGATGTCCAGGTCCCCCTCATCCAGCCCCTCTTGCTGCTCAGTCATCCATCAAGCTGAAGTGCCCCACGTGGACACCAAGTTGTGATGAGGGAGGCCTCCTCCATCTGCCCTTTCCTCTGTGATAGTTCTGTAGATATGTCCAGCTGTGTTCCAGGGGGCATCTTAGAGCTCGCCGAGGCCTGGGCTGCTCCGTGCTCCTGACCAGGGACTTTGCACAGATGCACCCACCCTTCCTACCACGCAGCATGGCCCTGCAGTCACAGCTAAGGGCCTTCCCTCGAAGGTGACAGCACTCTAGGAGCTGTGACAGGGCAAGCCTGCATTGCATAGCCTCAAGGGACCTCTGTTCTCTGTGCTGGCCTGCTGGTGTTAGCCTTTGGATGGTGGAGTTACTCGAGGGAAGTTCAGGGTAACGAGAGATCAAGCCCTAGCTGTCAGGAGCCAGAAGCAGGCAGGACCCCACTGCATGTATCTTGTCATCTTTTACTTTATACTTACTTCTTTCATAATGTATATGGTAGTGTGTATGCGTGTGTGGCATCACACACACACACACACACACACATACACACACACATATATATACCAGGGAGAGCTATGAAATAGGTCTGAGCTTTGCAGTCCTCTTGCTGTGGGAGGTGCCCCCTAGCAACACCCCCTGACTGTGACAAATCCTCCCCACACAGCACATGGATGGAGCCCTTGGAAGACACAGCCTTAAATACTTTGCCCACTCAGACGCTGTTGCTTCTCACCCTGATGTGGCTATGAGCCTACAATGGTACTTTGGAGTCACGTGGTGTGTGGCCTGTGCTCCACCCAGTACAGGGTGTGTGTGCTGAAGTGGAAAGCTCCCTAGGCACAGCCCACACAGCCCCAGGCCCTCAGGGACTCAGTTTAAATGCACAGATCTGTCTCAGGCTGTGGACATTTCATGTGGCTTTTCTCTCTGGAAAAAAAAAAACTGTGGGCCACCATGAGGGCCAGCCAGCCAAGCCAGAGCCAAGCTCATCATAGCAGTTTCCCCCTTACTTATAGTTCCATTTACTTCCAGGCAAGTGAAGTCTGAAAACAAAGCACCTGTCTCGTGTACCCACCTTTATCTGTCCCTCCTCCATTCATTCGGCAGTCTGCTTGGCGATCACACAGACTCACAGTGTTTGTGTTTAAGTGTCCCCATGTGACGTCATACTGGCTCCAAAGCACCAGAGTAGTGAGACAAAGCAAGCACTAGAGTGTGAAACAGTATGCAGAGGGTGCAGATCTCTCCTGGGGGACTTAGGATGTGACCCCATGAGGAGGAGGCATTGATCATTCTAGTCCTTGTGTGTCTGTGTGAACACGACTGCTCTGTGCCACCTCCTGGGCATCGTGAAGTACTGCAGTTCCCTGTGGAATGCAAGGACCTCCCTGTCTGGTGCCCAGGCTAGCATCAAAGCCACTGTGTTGCTGAGGCTGGCCTGGTGCACCTGATTTTCTTGCTCCATATCCCAAGTTCTGGCATTACAGGCAGGAATTCTTTTTCTTTCTCTTTCTTTCCTTCCTCCCTTCCAATAGTAGTTATTATGTTTTGAGATGGTGTCTCACAATGTAGCCTTGGCTGGCCTAGAACTTGATATGTAGACCAGGCTGACCGTGAACCTATCTCTGCCTCCCAAGTGCTGGGATTAAAGGTATGGGCCACCACACCCAGATCTGGGTCTTGCTTTTTGTTTTTCAAGATAGAGTTTCTCTGTGTAGCCCTGGCTGTCCTGGAACTCACTCTGTAGACCAGGCTGGCCTCAAACCTGCCTCTGCTCCTGTGAGCTGGAATTAAAGGCAGCACCACCACAGCCCAGCTTGGGTCTAGCTTTTTAAAGACGCTTACAGCACAAACACTTATTCTCAGGTGACAGGGTCCTAGCTGGCTGTCCCTACAAGTGGCTCCACATCACTCTCTCGGCATGTGATTTCAGGTCAAGCACAGCAGTTGAGATGCTCCTCTTGGGAGCAGTAATGCTCGACACCATCTGATGCTTCTAGGAGGAAATGTGCTTTCCACATGTGACAGCATTCTATCTACCAGACATGCCTGTGAGCCACAGGGACATGGACACAGCATTCCTGTTTCTTTAGGGTCTCTACTGTAAGAGTGATGAAAAGGTCTTCATAGCACACCTGTAGTTTGCACGACTGTTATTCTCACAGCAGGGGCTGAGCCATGTGACTGGAAAAGGCTCCACCTGTAGTTGCTAGGTGCCACCTGTTTGTTTACCAACAGATTCCCAGGGTAGGACTTCAGACAGCTCAGGGTCCTCATGGAAACATTTATTGTAAGCTGGGATTAAAATTCTCAATGTTGAATACTTTTCCTACCTGGGATGTAATTTTGTGATCCTCTGTGTCTAACAAAAAATTATTGGCACAGAAACCACCCTTACCTCAAAGGGAACAAGAGATTGTTCACTCTAGAGTCAGGTATGAGTGACCATGGCCCCAAACCACATGTTGAAGTCTCCCCCAATGCCATTTTCCACTGTGGAAGTAGCTATGTGAGATTTTTACTAGTTACAGAGCAAAGGAAGTTAGGAAGTATTTATCTGCTGCATTGGTAGGAGCCACAGGTAGAGCAAGGGGGTCTACTCAAGTCTCGGAGACTAGCTCATGGCATCTTAGCCTTTGGGTTGGTGGGAGTTGGTGATCTGCTTAGAATACATTGTAAGCTTTTGATAGTTGCCAAGATGTTAGGACAGGCACAGGGCAGGCAGTGGATGGCTTTCTAAGAGACTGAAAAGAATTGAAGATAATGTGACTGCACTCCACAGCATTTGACCTCTCCATAGTCTTGAGACTTGTAGAGTCTTTAACCCAGGTGCAGCGTCTGTCCGTGTCTGTCTCTGTCTGTCCTCACATCTCTTTGTCTCTCTCCTTCCCTCCCCCTCCCTTTCTCCCTCCCTCCCTCCTTTCTGGGCACTTCAGCTCACCTTGTGTTGGTTACTTCTGCATAAACAACCTGAAGAGTTTTTTTTGTTCCTAGTGTCAGAGTTCAGCCCATGATCATCTGGCCCCATTTTTGTGGGGTGGAGGTGAGACTCATATATCATGGGTGGGGAGCATTTGGGCAGAACCGAGCAGCTTACATCATGGTGGCCAGGAAGCCAAGAGAATGAGAGGAGAGGGCCGATATATACCCTTGAGAGGCACACCCCAGCCAGGCCCCACCTTCCATAGTTGCAGGACCTCCCAATAGTTTATGCAAAATTAAATCCATCAATGGATTCAACAAAGGATCAGGTCGGAGCCCCTCTGGAAGCACCCTCCCAGACACGTCCAGAGGTGTGTTTTGCTGTCTCTCAGTCCAGGAAAGGTGACAGTCAAGGTCAAACACCACAGCTACTTGTCTTGATTATCTCCAACAGTGACTGTGTTGGGAAAGACCAACATCACTGTGATCACTGTATGGGGAAGTCGAGGCACTCTCTGCCAGGCAGGTGGCTCATGGTGTCACAGATATAGAGGCATCTTTCAGCCCTCATGTAGGGGGCCCTGGCTGTGCCCAGAAGGTTCCAGTGTGTCAGGTGACTGTCAGGAACTTAGTTTGAAGTCTGCTTGTCTCAGTTGCTCCCTCCCAGCCTTTTGCAGATGTTTTCCACTGGCTCACTTTTATTCTTGGTCTTCCTGATGCAACAGGAGGTTCCCCCTGGAAGACATCCCAGCGGATGAGAACGACGCAGCCCAGTGGCTTCACAAGCTGTACCAGGAGAAGGTAAAGGCTCCTGCTTGCCTGGGTCCCACCTCCAAAGCAGGCGGGTGCTAAGGAGGGTAGGCAGGTCCCACGTGGTTCCCCTTTGGACACCAAACACAAGTGGTCCTCACCTGCATTGGATTCCCCTCTTTTTCTTAAAAGTTGAGAAATTAGCCCTGGAGTGAAGTACGAAGTCTGGCCCAACACTTGGTGTGTTCACTGTACAGAAGCCTTGCACAGGGCCCCACGTGTGAAACTGTGTTGATGGCATTTTACCATATTTGTTCCTTTTTATATAAGAGAAAGTTTATGCATGTAGCAGACATTGCCCAGTTTTACAACAATATGCTTATGTCGTGGGTATCCCCCAGATTTACAACAGCATGTTTATGTCATGGGGTCCCACAGCAGATACCAAGGGGTGCTTCTAAGACCACACATGTCCAGGTCCTACTCCACAGTGCATGCTTACCCTATGCCCATTTCCCGGGGCAATAAGTGTCCACTTCAGCATTGCTGGAAATCAGATGACCAGAAAAGCCCGCAGTAAACCAAGTTCTGTCCAGTGCTATGAGCAGCTCCCAAGGAAGTAAGGGAGCTCCAGAGACCAAGGAGGGAAGAGAGCTAGGCCTGAAGGTGAGGGGCCTGTGCTGATGCTACATATCTTACTAGTGTTTGCTGGTCCCCCCGAAGTCCTGAGTTGTAAGCCTCCATGGGATCAGATGGTGAGAGGTGATTTTGCACAGGATAGTAAGGTGGGCCACATGAGGCCCATCCTTCTAGGAAGTCAGCCTAGGGAAGGTTGTCCCCACCTACCTTCTCTGCTGTGCTGAAGAATGTTTCCCTGGTGACTGTCCTGGCCCACCCTCACAGTTCCAGAAGATGGAGCTACTAGAACAGAAAGTGGTACACAGACAGCCCCCTCAGTCTGCCGAAGGAGACCCATGCACAGCTGGAGGGAGGAGACCCCAGAGGCCGACTTCTCAGGGTTTGCACAGTTGGGACCCAGCTGCAGGCCAGCTGCAGGCTACCACAAGATAAAATGGCCAAGGGAGCAAACCCTTGCCAGTGCCCGACAGAACAATCCAAGTCCTCAGAGGAACTTGAGAAGTAGCAGATACTGACGAAAAGGAGCGTGTAAAGATGAAAATGGAAACCAAGAAGACCTGCAAAAGAGTGAACAGGGCAGTGGAAAGGCCTTAGGGCACGTGGAGAACAAAACCAGCCTGCTAGCAGAGCGATGCTGCGGCCGCGTGCTCGGTGTACAGCGCTCACTGCGTATCAGGTTCCTTCTGCATGCCATCTGCTTTCCTCAAGAATATTAATAAAGGGGCTGGGGAGATGACTCAGTGGTTAAGAGCATTGGCTGTTCTTCCAGAGGACCCGGGTTCAATCCCCAACACCCACATGGCAACTCACAACTGTCTGTGACTCCAGTTCCAGGGGATCCGACACCTTCATACAGACATACATACAGGCAAAACACAATGCATGTTAAATAAATAATAAAAGGAGGAGCCAGGTGAAGTGGAGCACACCTTTAATCCCAGCACTCAAGAGACAGAGATTTGAGGTTCAAGGCCAGTGTTCCAGGATAACCAAGGTTGGACATCCTGAGGCCCTATCTTAAAAAAAAAAATTAATAAAATAGAAAACTCTGGTCAAGACTGATTAAACAAAGTGATGGAATTAGTATTGACAGGAATAAAACAAGATACAAACAACAAACAGGGAATCAAAATCATATGATCATGGTATGGCTGGCTTTGTGCCCACCTGTTTGGAAACCTGGATAAAGTCTGCCACCTCCTTTACCACACCTTTATGACAGTTGCCCTACAAAGTAGGTGTCGAAGGTTCTTAGCTCACATAGCTCAGACCATGGACCACAGACCCACAGACCCACAGACCCACAGACCCATCATCCTGATGAAAGAGTTTCTTTTGGGGTCTAGAACATCTATCTCTCTGTCTGTCTGTCAGATCTTCCCTGTTCGGTGTAGCACTAGAAGTCTTAGCAGAGCAATTAGGGAAAGAAAGTGTTGAAGGAAGTCCATATTGGAAAGGAGGATAGTCCAACTATACTGTTTATGGACAGCACGGCTTTACATTTAGAAAAACATCAAAACTGTTAAAATGTTAGAACTGGGAAATTCCCTAAAGTTCCAGGATACAAAACCAGTGTCCAAAAGCCATTTCCACATACCCAAAAAGGACTTGCTGAAAGAGAAACCCAAGCAAAACCAAAGAAACCGTAGGAGCTAAGCCAGCCTGGGACCCTGAAATCCTCCTGTGGGGGGGTTGTCGGGGGAAACTCATTCCAATGCCAAAGGCAGCTGCAGCCAGCATTGCCTCAGTGCTGTCCATGGTGGCCAGATGACAGAATTCACCCCGTCCTACAGTGAAGCCGGGCCGTGGTGGTGCACACCTTTAATCCCAGTACTCAGGAGGCAGAGGCGGGCGGATCTCTGAGTTCAAGGCCAGCCTGGTCTACAGAGTGAGTTTCAGGACAGCCAGGGCTACACAGAGAAACCATGTCTCAAAAAACAACAACAAAAAGAAAAAGGGAGGGAGGGAGGGAGGGAGGGAAGAGGAAGGGAGGGAGGCAGGCACAGGCAGAGGCAGGCAGGCAGAGGCAGGCAGGCAGGCAGAGGCAGGCAGGCAGGCAGAGGCAGGCAGGCAGGCAGGCTTTATTCTGTGGCTTGCATCTTAGCCAAGTGGCTTTTATTGCTGAGTTTTTCCTGCATCAGAGTCCCACTTGGCAATCTCAACCTCCTGTTCTCCCCTTCCCTGTCAGGATGCCCTGCAAGAGATGTACAAGCAGAAGGGCCTGTTCCCAGGGGAGCGGATCAAGCCTGCCCGAAGGCCATGGACCCTCATGAACTTCCTATGCTGGGCCACCATCCTCCTCTCTCCCCTCTTCAGCTTCGTCCTGGGCGTCTTTGCCAGTGGATCCCCGCTCCTCATCCTGACGTTCTTGGGGTTTGTGGGAGCAGGTAAAGAGATGTGCCACTTACATGCTGGGGTCACTGGGCCACCACCATACCCAGGACTGATGGCCCATCCTGGTGGCCCCTGGAGGCAGCACCTTGGGTCAGGGAACTGAGTGCCTCTGGCTCCTGCGTGTGGGACCGTGGAGGTCTGTGTCCTTTAACTCTTGTATGGCCTTCTGTACTGGAGTGGCCACACACTGGGAGGAAAGGATTGGGAGTGGGGGGGTGACAAGACCAGCTAGGGTGCCCTCCTGAGGTTAACCTCTAACCTCTCTCCTCTCTCTCTTGTCCTTAAAGCTTCCTTCGGAGTCCGAAGACTGATAGGAGTAACTGAGATAGAAAAAGGCTCCAGCTACGGCAACCAAGAGCTTAAGAAAAAGGAATAATTAATGCTGTGATTGATTGAACACCCATAACCTGACGCGGTATCCAATTAACTCAATTAAAAACCGAACACACAAGAGCGAGGGAAAGAGACACTTAGAGACTATTTTTCTTATTAACTGGTGACTAATATTAACAAAACTTGAGCCAAGAGCAAAGAACTCAGCTGCCAGGTGAAGATGGTCAGCCAGCACCCAGGGTCCCATCGGCCCTCTGCGGGGACAGAGGCGGGCTTGGGGAAGGTGGTGGGGCCGTGGGGCTCCCCCAGAACTCCGCCTCCAAGAGGCGGCCTTGGCTGCTCTCCCTTCTTAAACTTAGAATGAGGCTTTTGTTTCTTATCGGTTATTTTGGGAACTTAACCTGGCCCCCACCTTGTGCCCTGCACCCCGGAACACTGGCTCTTCATGGGTGCCCGCTGTCCTCATGGGGGCCGGTCAGCTGGATCCTTGTCCTACAGAGCTCATTTGTCCTGCCCTGCTTGGCACCTCTGCTTCTAGCCTGGGGGGGAGGAAGACTTCTTAGAGATAAGCACACACTGAATGTAGATCTGGCCCCTTTGCCCCTCCCCTGCCCGGGGGCTGAAGACCACCCCTCCATCCTCTGCAGTACCGTTGGCCCCGCCTGTCTGGGGGCTGTGTCTAAGCACCTTACGTCTCTTTTTAAAGTGAACGCCCGAGAACTCTGCAGAATGTGGAATCCTTGAGTTCATACAGCACCTCCATCCAGCTCCGTGCTCCCCTCGTCCTCGGTGGCCAGCAGGCTGCAGTCCTGCACAGGGCCCGATGGGAAGACCACCCGGGCCCCACACCTCAGAGCCGTGGGACTCCCCTGGGACACTCTTCAGGAGGTGGTGTCTCCATCAGGGCTCCTTGTTCTCAGTCAGACACCTTTAGTGCTTGTTAGCATTAGAATTTATTTTTCCAAATTCGTCTGTGGCTGGCTCGCAGCTTCTCCCTGTCCTCATCCTCTTCTGCCTCTACCCAGGCAAGTGTCATGGCTGCCGTCCACACCCACTGTTGCCCACTACCACCTCAGTGACATAAGCTGTGCTGGTAGAGAACAGGGGTCCTCTGCCTGCACTTGGTGCCTTGCCAGGGCCCCTTAGGCTGGCCCTGGAGGCACATTTTCCTTCTCACTTAGCACAGGAAGGCCTGCCTGGTTTCTGGGAGACCTAGGTTCTCGGGGAAACACCATCCTATACTTTTACCTTCTGTCTGGAACCTTCCACGGGCCCTTTTAAAGTCATTTCATGTTTTCTAACAAGGAAAATCCGGGTATTCTTTCTGGCATACTGCAACCAGAGTTCAAAGTAAAGGCAGAGAAGATTTATAGGGCACACTGGAAGAAGGAGACCTGGAGAAGCCTGAGAGGAGACCGGGGCCTGAGTCTGCACGGCCCCCAGTGCTGGGGAACTCGTGAGGCAGCATGGCCACTTTGCAGAAGATGCCCCTGGCCTCTGCGGTCCATGCACAGCAGAGTAGTCATGGACTGCTCCTATCTCTCTTGGGCGACAGCAACAATCATGACTGCTTGTAAGGGTGAAGGGTCAAGTCAAGCAAACTGAGACACTGAATCTCTCCCCTCCAGATGAAGGCTTGCCTGCCCTGGCCTCTGCCAACTGTGAGCCATCTTGGGCACTCCCGAGGGCCAGTTCCCTCCCTGATGGGGTTTTCCTTCTGCCTTTCTGTCTGCCTGAGGTCTCAGTCCTCCCCACACTCACCGTCACCTCCCAAATCCGAAGGAGACAGGATAACGGGCCCTGCCGTGCATGCACTTGGCCCCGGATAAAGCAAGCTCAGAGCCTTTACCATTTCACTAATGCCTCTGACTTCCACAGAAGCCCTGAGCCTCTGAGATCAGCTGAGTCTGTGAATGACCCAGGGAGTCCAGGCTGCAGGCCTTGCCCTCCTAGGCCTCCCCCTGCTTATCCAATACAGTGCTTCTGAGAGCAATAAAAACTACACTAGGAATGTGGGTGTGGGTTCTATGTTTTGGTTTTTGGGTTTTGGTTTTTTTTTTTTTTTTTTTTTTGTGGGGTCAGATTTTGCTTTTCATCTGCTTCAGAAGGAAAGGGGGAGGAGAGCCCCTTTGATTTTTCTATTAAATTAATAAACCTCAAAATAGTGCTTTTCTCTTTTTCCTTCACACCCTACTACTGATAGGCATGGCTGATGTCATGCCCAGATTCAGATTGGAAGTGCTGCTGAAGCAGCTTGCTAGTCTCCAGGGAGCCCGTGCTGGAAGCAGTGGGCTCAGGAGCCAGAGGCATTCTGGAACTGGAGTGGTTGGTGGCCTTGGGAGGAAGGGCCTGGCCTGCCAGATGGGCTCTGCTTCAGGTTCCCCAGCAGAGGGGCCCCCACAAGGTCAGCTCAGACTGGGCCATGGTCTCCTTACCACTCAGGCTCAAGAGCCAGCTACGATGAAGGCTCCTGCCATCTCCCTGAGAAACCCTTCCACTGTCCAGGTGGTGTCCCACCCCCGGTCCCTGGTCACACCCATGTACCTCATGTAGGGCTCTCTGAAGCTGTGCTGAGCTATAGCCTTGGCTGCCATTCTCCTGATAGCCAACGGCGTTTCACGGTACCCACATGGAGCATCTAGAACGATGCTGCTGCTCTCTGAGGGCTTTGTGTTAGCATTCTGATTGGTGACCATCCTGTAAGAAGCAGGGTAACAAGCTAGGAAGGCTGAATGAGGTCAGTGTGTGGGCAGTTCAGAGATCGGGGACACTTTCCTCTTGACAAGACCTTTAACCCAGAGAAAGAAGCCACTTGCTATTTGTGGGTGTTTGGTGACTACATCCATGAGTCATGTTTGAGCTGCTGTAAGGTCCTGTCCCCGGGAAACAGTCTGATGAGCTCTGAATATGCAGGCTGCTGGATAACATCCTGCAACAATGTAACAATACTTTCTTCTAGAAACAATGCAGGTGTCTTCACAGATGCCTTGACCTTGACTCCCCTCCTTGAGAATCTTTTCTGCCTCTGATCCAGCCCTGCCTTTACACCATCAGGAAAAGTCAGAGTTAGACCCAGCAGTGAGTTACATTCATATGCAGTTCAAGAGATGTCAGGAGACCATCCACACCCACCATGACTACTAATTTGTGTCCGGTTCAGGATGAAGAGTAAATGGCTCTTCCTGCATGTTGCCCTGTCTCTGCCTGAGACCTTATAGGACAAGCCAACAGTAGCCTTTCCAGCCCTGATGACTTGCACCTCAATTGTTTGTCCCCCACATACACCCCACCACTAGCTAGATGCATGCGACGCTTGGCGCTAGCCATTTGGTGTGGCTTCTAGCCCTCTGCAGTGTCATGAGGCTCGGGGTTAGAATGGCTCACCTGAGATGCCTGCTGCCTTCTTTCTAGAAACATCTCTGGCCTATGGGCCAGCCCCAAACCAAAGGCACCTGGGCCTGGGTGAGGGCACCTCAGACCTGCCTTAGGCCTTGTCCCAGAGTCTTGCCACGGGGCTGTCAGTTGGGTGCTGACACTCGGGCCCCGAATCACTACATACAGGGGCCAGGATTTGAAACTGCAAGTTCAGGCTTTGGGTGATCTGCTTGGCTGACAGGGTGGACACACGAATCAAAGTTTATCACAGGCATTTGAGATCGGTTAGTTCAGGGGACCGGTGGTATTCTTGCAAACCACTCCAGAAATAAGTCAGTGAGAGCACTCTGGGGAGCCGCTGGAGACATTGTACTGTCTCTTCACAGACCTGTGAAAGTGTGAACTTTGTTTGGACAGGTCACCTGGAGCTTTCTTTTCTCCTTAGCTTTTTGGTTTCTTTCTGTTGCAAAAGAGTTTGGAGAGAAGTGGAACTGTGAATGAGATCCTGAAATGCACTAAATTGTATTCTATTAAACTGGAGTTACTTGATTCAATGAAGAGCTGCAGTGCTCTGCTTGTATTCATTGTCTCAGAGTAGTAACATTGTGACAATCAAACATGACTTGCCTCACGGCCTGCACCTCCTGGCGTCTGTACCAGCGAGTCCTCTAACTACAGGACCGGCTCTTTTTGGAAGCCACACATACCATGGACTCGAATGATGGAGTGCTTGTGTGGGTGGGCGGACATCTGAGCTTCTTTTCCTATTCCTGAGAAATTGCCATATCTGACTGTGGGCAGTCTCAAAGGGATGCTTCGTCTACAGGGTGCAACTGTGTTATATGGATGTTTCCTTTTGTATACTTCTTTTTACAAGTTTGCTATTCATAAGCTTTCTGTGGTAAGGATGGATGGAGGTCAGTGCTCTAGGAAGAGGTCCATGGCCGGGAGCTGACTGAAGCTTTCCAGGCCTGGATCTACAGGCCGGCTGTGTTGACTGCCATGCAAAGCTCTCTGTCCACAGCACGTGGAAGGTCACCCAGGCAGTGTGGCACTTCCGCTTGGTGGTACTTTCTAGGCAAAATGCATAGGTGTCATACTTGTTTATTACAAACGCTGTTGTGAACGAGGGATAAAATGTCCATAATATACGAGAAAGTGACTCTCTGCCTCTTTTTCTTTCTTTCTGATCTGCATAGATTTCCAAGAGGGAGCAACCTCCAGATATTTCCTGTCCCTTGGGGCCACCCTCCTCCAACCCCTTGTTCTGGGCATTTCTCTGAGGCCCTTCAGCTGGCAGCACTGTCTGTCCCAGGGCCCTGGGGCCCCGGGATCTCCACTCTGGGAAGCAGAGAGAGGGAATTCAACTAGCTTGTGAAATGCTGAGGGACCCAAGGCCCCACACTGGGTTTTAAAAGCTATTGAGGAGGCCAGAGAGATGGCTCAGCAGTTAAGAGCTCTGGCTGCTCTTCCAGAGGACCCAGGCTCGATGCCCAGAACCCACATGGCAGCTCACAACCATCTGTAACTCCCAGGGAACCCAGGGCCTTCTTCTGGCCTCCTTGGGGACCAAGAATACACATGTTACATACATGCAGACAAAACATTCATACACATAAGATTCTTTTTTAAAAATCAAAAGCTGCTGCAGATGAATGGCTTTCCAAGTCAGCAGGCCCACGTCCTGAACTGCTTTGGTAAAAACCGCTTTCATTCTGTGGCGATAATGAAGAGACCCCCTCCCCATTAAAAGGGAAATTGGCTGGGGCTGTAGCTCAGCTGGTGAAGTGTTGCTTAGCATTTGCGGAGCCCTGAGTTCCCCAGCACCACGACCATGCCAGGCATGGCGTTCCACACCGATCGTCGTAGCATCTGGGAGGCTGAGACAGAAGAGATAAGGAGTGCAGGGCGGGTGTAAGCGATGTGGGACCCCATCTCAGAACACCAAAGGCAAGGAAGGGGGTAGGGCAAAGACCTTGTCAGAACGAACCAAAAGCTGTTCCAGTTCTCTGTTGTCTGTCTCCCAAAATAAACTGCACTGAAAGGATTGTGATGTCCTGCTCGCGGGAACGGCCTGGGACGTGTGTCTTTCTGCTGTGGGTTATGTCCTTCCAAGGCGGCTTCAGTGCGGTGGCTCTAGCTCAGCCTCCCTCAGGAACTCTGGAAAGCCCCACAGATACATGCCCGCAAGCATGCAGGGATCATCCACACACATACAGCACACACAAGTGCACAGGCACACGGGAGTGCACACCTCAAAAATGAGAGAATCCGGTCCGCCGCATGAGAAAACCCTGTCGGGAAGCAGGCTTTGGAAACCATCCTGTGAACTCCTCCAAGAGCAGCAGCTCAAGTGCTAGACAGATGTCCACAGCGACAGCAGGGTCTGTGAGGAGAGCAGCTGGTCTCAGAACCGTTCTTCCAGGCAAAGGACCCCAGAGAGGAAGTCCAGATATTCAGGGACATTTCTGAGGTAGCCATGATGTTGCTCGGCCTTGGCTCTGCTGGGAGACAAGAGCTTTCCTTTGCCTGATGTGTACCCTGGGCCAGGCCCTTCTCTCTCTCTCTCTCTCTCTCTCTCTCTCTCTCTCTCTCTCTCTCTCTCCTCTCTCTCTCCTCTCTCTCTTCTCTCTCCCCCCCCCTCTCTCTCACACACACACCATTCACACCTTTCAGCCTTTCCTGGGTCACTGTTGCTATTAGGCTTCTGATGTGATTTCCACACAGACGTTTTAAAATGGGTCACTTTCTCCTAGCAGAGTCCCATATGGCTGTAATTTTGTGGTCAGATCTACCTGTCCACTAGGCTAGCTCAAGCCAGTGGGTGTCCTCTGCCATATACAAATGGGATCGTGTCCAACTGGGCACCCATTGCTAGAGTCCAGTTGGAAGACAGGGTCAAATGCTCCGTGTATGGGCCAGAGCACACAGCCAGTGCAGCAGAGGCAAGGGGTGAGAACCTGAGTTCAATCCCCAGGACCCACATGATGGAAGGAGGGAATTGACTCCTACAAATTGTCCTTTGACCTCTACACATACACATGTTCATCAACCGATCAATCAATGTGAAAAAAAAATCGAATCTGACAGTCACACAGTTGAGCTATATGTCATTATTTTACCAGTTCTGCTGCAGGCGATACCTCCATGTGGGAGCCATGGTGAGTTACTTTTCAGTGATTGCTGAAACCACTGACCCTTCACTTGGACGACAGACAATGGACTACATCGTCAGAGTACTAAAAATTACTGTAATGCCACCACATTCTGAGCACATGTCCCACGGAGAGTCATGAACTCAGAGCCTTCTCCTCCATTCGCCTGTCCCATCCTCAGACCTCCTGCTTCTTTGCCCCATAGATCCTTCAAACCCTACCTCAGGGAGTTGGATCTGAGACTTGCATTTCCTGTCTTCTTCAGCTTGGGTGCCTCTCAAATAAATGTTCTCTGTTGAAAGATTCCGCAGTTACCGTGACTGGCACACAGATTAGGGGCGAACTAGCCATGGCTCAAGCGCACTGTGATGGAGCAAGGTGGAGTTGGCTTGCCCTTCTCTGGTCACTGTCCAGGCTGCCATTGGTTTCACTCCTGGGGCCCGCTTTCTGGATGATTCAGAGGGTTCCTTCTCCTCCCCACGCTGTCTGCTGTTTCCGATGGCTCACACATACTCTGTAACTTGGATGCACTACATTTTGCTCCAACACATGTGTGTAAAAGCCACACACATAGCTTGGTTTCCCTCTTTACATTGTCTTTTGAGACATGTATTTCATTTTAATGGTGTTGATTTTATTTATTCTTCCCTTTTCTTTGCTTTTCAAAAATTATTTGGTTTTCTTTATTAGCACTGGGCGGGTGTGATGTGTGTGAGTGTGGGTCACGTGTGTGCCATGGCACATGTGTGGAGGTCAGAGGACAACCTTTGGGAGTTGGTATCTCCTTCCACCTCGTTGACTCTGGGTCTCTCCTACTGCTTCTGCCATTCTGCCTACTTCAGATTAACTGTGAGCTTCGAGAGTGCCTGGACTACAGATGTGGGCCACTGCATCTGGCTTTTCGGCATTGAGGTAGGTGCTTAGACTGGACCCGAGGCCTTGTGTATGCCAAGCTGGTGCTTTACCACTGAGCAGCACCCCCAGTCCCTCACAGATGAACTCAGGCCTGTGCTCTACCAGTGGGTCACACTTCCAGACCTCTTCCTTTATGATTTTGTATTGTTTTAGGATTACTTAGATCTTGCTATCATCATATATTTGTTCTAGTTTTTCCTCTGAGGGTGTCCATGTGTGTGCGGGTGTTACATGCATATACGTATCAATGCTAGAGGCCAACATCAGCTGACTTAGCCAGGGCCATCTCAGTTTGGAAATCCCCTGCATTTTAGTTGGTCTGCCTGTCCCTGACTCCGCAGTACCCTTCATTTTTAAAAATGGAAGTTCTGGGGATCTAACTCAGGTCCTTGTAAAAGTAGGCACTTAACGGTGGAGCCACCTCCCCAGCCAACCCCATACTTGGTTTTGGGTTTGATCTTAACGCTTCCACCCAAGGTTCCTTCTTTGTGAACAAACCAGTTCTGAAGTTCCTATGGGGACAACTCAATTTTAGGTTTTCAGAAAATGTTCCTATTTTGCTCTGGTTTTAAAAGGATTCTGTAGCTGTGTGACTAACCATAGCCTATTATTACTTCCTCTCGATTTTTTTACAGAATTATTTTACATTTATGAGTACCTTGCCTGTATGTATGTGCCCTATGAGTATACAGTGCCCACTGAGGCCAGAAGAGGGCGTCAGATCTCTGAAACTGGAGTTCCAAATAGTGTCAGCTGCCAACTGGCTGCTAATCACACCCAGGTCCTCTGGAAGAGCAGCCAGTGCTCTTAACTGCTGGACCATCTCTCCAGCCCCTCTTTTGATTTTTAAGACATTCTCTGCCTTCTGCCCTTCTGGCTAAGAAATCCAAAGAAAGTATTTCATTTCTCAGTTGGTGATCTGTCCTCAATTGCTGTCTGATGTTTCTCCTAGGGATGAAACAGAGTCTGCAAGTGGGTTTCTGGGGCTGATGGGAAAAATCCACGCTCTGTCCTGGTGACTGAGCACATCTGCTTGCTGTACCCTGTGGTGTAGGCTTGGGGGCCTTGGCTGGCCCTCTTCTGGGCCATCTACTTCAGCTGATGTGGGAGTCAGCAATAGACCCGTGTTTTCTGTGGTTATGACTCCTTTGCCCGATGTAAACTGGGGATCCTGTGTTAGGAAGTCTGGCACCAAGTGGCCCTTAAGTTGTAGCGCTAGGGCGAGCAGCATGGCTCTGTGGGTAAAGATGTCTGCAACCCAAACTAATGACCTGAGTTCCATCCATGGGGCCCACATAGTGGAAGGAAACAATCAATTGTCTCTGACTACACACACATGCTCTTGATCATGTACACACACACACACATGTGCACACACACACACACACACACACACACACACACACACACACACACCCCGTTGCACAACCCCATGCCCCCAAATAAATTTAAAATGTAACAAAAAACATTTTTAATGGTGATGCTACC